GGTCTTTCACTGACCCTAGAGCTTCCCATTTTGACTAGACCCCAGGGAGTCAACAGGATCCTCCTGCTGCCCCTGTCCCCAACCCCCAGTGCTAGGGCTACAGATGGGAAGCACCACACCCAGCTTTTCTTTTAGATGCTGACAATCCATAGGCAAGTCCTCAAGCTTGTGCAGCAAACATGGTACCCACTCAGCCATCTCCCCAGTCCCAGTGTCTTCAAGTTCTTAAGCAGTTCACTGTTTTCAAAGTGAATTCACTTTTATTTCATGTTTCAATTACTGTAGCCACAAAACAATTCCTCTAAATTTGGAGGTGTAAAACAGTTTATTTTGCTTTCAGATTCAGTGGGTCATCAGTTTTCAGACTGGGCACAGCAGGGGTGGCTTGTCTGTTCCATGGTGCCTCAGTCCTCAGTTGAAATTTGAAGGTTCTTTAATCACATGTCTAGTAGTTGATGCTGTCATCAGCTGGGGGCCTCAGTTGCTCTCTGCATGAGCCTGTCCATGTTGTGTCTGTAGTTTAGGGTTCTTTGCAGCATGAAGGCTAAGTTCTAGAATTGATGCTGAGAAACAGTGACAGGCAGACATAGACCTTCCTAAGACACACACGCTCGCACGCAGGCACGCACACATAGGTTCCATGATGGAGGACTGCTTGTCACATTGTAAGAGCATTTGGGATAACATGTACTTATTGATGCAGCTGTCTTTAGCCTGCCACATTGTGCTCTCTGGTTTTCAAATTAACCTGTAAGTAGCTCTTGTAGATCATTTATAATGGAAAATTAACAAGTATAGTCCTAAGTGTCTTATAAACTAGAGGATCAGCCACTGGAAACTCAACATTAGACTCATAGGTCCCTCCCACTTAGAATAGTTAATCAGTTTTAAAGATGATATACATTCTATATCACAGAGGTAAGGCAAAAGATGTATTGATGTATCAGATTAGAATATGACTGATAAAGACCAGTGAGTGAATCGGCAATATTTTCATTGAAAAATTCATGGATTTTAATTTACTCAGTTAGTTTGAGAGGATTGACAGACTACAGCAAGTGGGCCAGATCCAGACAACCCCATCATTTGTTGGAGCACTCATTTCTGTATGGTCTGCGACAGGTTTTATACTACAGAAGCTGAGTGGAGTATTTGTGAGGAAAAGCATTTGCTACCAAAGCATCAGTGCTCTGTGGCCCTTTGTTTGACGGTTGTAGACCCTTCCTTATTGTAGACAGCCAGATGCAGTCAGTCTGACGTTCCCCCTATCTGAGGCTGAGATTTTCACCATCTGTTTGCTCAACAAGAATGTAAGAACTAGTATAAGTTCTGGAAATAGCAACAACTTAATACTTATTCTCAATTGCTCAGGGATTGACAGGGAGTCAGAAAATCCCAGATTTACATAGTACAATGCTCTTGAGTGGTACTGTTTAGAGCTGTGCACAAATCTGTCAGTGAAGAAAAGAACTATCCCCAAAATTAAGGTCTGGTTCTTCCAGAGAGGGCTTCCTAGAAGACTGGCACTAAGTTCTTAGAAATAAGTAGGAAGTAACAAGGTAAAAAGTGTAAGAATTTTACACATAGGAAAAAGGTCTGTGGACTACTAGTTTCACACCAGGAGCTGTCCTTTATAGCTAGAAAGTGCAGAGACTTGGGAAGTAATGAATGGGAGAGCTGGCAGCAAGTTAAGCTGCTGAGGCAGGAAAAGATCTGAGAGCTCTTTAAAGATCAGAACTGTGGAAATGTAATAATTAGCTGTGAGAATGCTGAAGAATGTAGGGTGAATGACCTGGGAGACCAGGTGACCAGGGAAATGGTGCCATTTTACTAAGATGCCAGTATTTTTTGGAGGGCTAGCCTTAAGGAAAAAAGAAATTTACCACTGGAGATTTTGACTGCAGTACATGTGCTACTTTGAATGAGAATCAAGTGGGCTCTTGACTCTGAAGGTTGAAACTCAAGACAAGATTTGGGAGCTTTTAGTAAATTGATATTTGAAGCCCTGGATACAATGATAGTCTCCCAGAAAGGAAGCAACAGTGCTTAAGAGGGGCAGAGGCCAGGATTGTAAGCCCAACCGCTCAAGAAGATGACAAGTTCAAGACCATCTTGGGCGATATAATGAGACCCTGTCTCAAAAAGTAAAGAGGGAGCTGGAGACATGGCTCAGCGGTTAAGAGCTCTTGCTGCTCGTCCAGAAGACCCAAGTTTGGTTCCCAGAACTCACATCTGGCTGTTGACAGCTGTATATAATTCCAGTTCCAGGGAATCAGATGCCATGTTTTAGCCTCCCCAGGCACCTGAACACACATGGCATATACATTAGGACATATATACATACACATAAATAAAATAATTTAAAGAAAAAAATAGTTGAATATTGTATTTATGTGACTCTCAGGATTGAACACAGGCCTTGAATTTGCTAGTTAAGTGTTCTTCCATGAGTTGTACTAATTGCCTTAAATGGGGTGTGTGTGTGTGTGCGTGTGTGTGTGTGTGTGTGTGTTTATGATTGGTGTGGCACATGCCACATCATGTGTGGAGGTCAGAAGACAACTTTGTGGTGTGATGTACGCACATACACATAATTTTTATTTTTATTTTTTTAAGTAAAGAGGACTAGAGACACACCTCAGTGATAGTTTCCCTGTCATGTAAAAGACCCTGAATTCTAGCAACATTAACAACAGCAAAATGCCTAGAAGAAAGAGGAAAGGATGAGTCTGTGGTGGGAACAGCCGGGGCAGAACATGTTTAAATGGTTTTGATAAATGTCAAGTGGTAGATCCAAAACCAGGCTGTAGTAACAAGTCAGAAATAAGAGTCATGCAAACCACAGGGCTTGAATATACTGTAGGGTGGAGTTATCAGTAAAGTCCTTATGAATAGGAGAAGACAGGATCAAGCACAGGTAGCGCTGTGCACAGAGAGAAGTGGACAAATGGGGAGATGTGGGAAGAAAGCTAATGTTTTGAAAGCCTGCTTTGTCAGTCATGTGGTTGGTTATTTACATAAGTGATTTTATTTCATCTTTGCAGTAATCTGTTTTATGTATTGTTCCTTGCTTTGTCACTCTAAGAGCATTCCACTGTCTCAGAGAGACATCAGAGGGACACACTGGCCAGCAGGCCCCACCAGCACCCTCGGTTCCCTGACTAACATGCCAGAGCTCAGGACCGTCAGAGGAGAATAAAACAATGTTGAAATTAACAGCAACTCCCCCCCCCACACACACACCCGAGAACTTGATGGGTGGCATCTCACAATGACCCTGGGGAACAGGTGCCAGGGCCATCCCTGTAGCACAGAGGAGATCTTGTGTGCAGAAATTAAAGGTTGGGTGGTAATATTTTGTCCAAGTTCACACATCTTATAAATGGTGTGGTGGTGCCACATTAAAGAAAGACTAAACTCCTGGATTCATTTACTCAAGAATGAGCCTAATCTCTTCTGAAATGTTCTGATTTCTCTCACAAGTGTTCATTTTCCAACAAAGGACATCTTTTTATCCATTGTGGTATGGCTATCAAGTGTGGTGTGGTAAAGGAATGAGGAATGTTTTCCTAAAGTCTTTAACCAGAGTTTTACAAAGGAAGAAGTTGCTTTTTCTGACGCCTTCTGGCCCAGAACAGCATACTAAACTACAAACAGATGCTATTCACCTAAGCCCACATGTTGCTTGCCACATTTACTGTGGGTCATTTATTGCTTCCAGTATGTGCTTTCAGTGATGATGTTAGCTGGGTTCGATTCCCAACACCCACATGGTGGCTACAAACTGTCCTTAACTCCTGTTCCAGGGGAATCCGAAGCACTTTTCTGACCTCCATGGCATTGCACAACATGGGTGCATTCACATACATGCAGGCGATACACTCATACACATAAAATAATAAAAATAAAATATTTTTTTAAAGTTGATTACATGGGGAGTCCAAGGCCTAGTCGATTGTTTACATTGCTTTATTAAAGGTAAGTTAAATTTAAGCAAGCTGAGTGAGTACACAGTAGGAAAACAGATCAAATATAGTGTTGAATGATCTCAAAGCATATGGTTAAGTTGGTTACAAGAGCTTGCATATGTTCAATTTGTTTTTTAAAATATTTTATTTTTATTTTTTTTTATGTGTATGAGTGTTACGCCTGTATGTTGGTAAGTGCACCCGTGTTGTGCAATGCCCACAGAGGACAGAAGAGGCTGTCAGATCCCCTGGAACTGGAGTTACAGACCATTGTTAGCTGCTTTGTGGGTGTTAGGATTCGAACCCAGGTCCTCTGCAAGAACAGTCAGTGTTCTTAACTGCTGAGCCATTTCTCCAGCCCCCATATGTTCAATTTGTAACAAAAGGTGTCATCCCCACGGGAGCTGGCACCTAAAACTAAAGATTTGATTCCTGATATGCTTCTGTCTTTGTTTTTCTGATCCCTTTCCCTATTCCCACATTTCCACCCTCCAGCTGGAGGAGCTTGCAGATAAGTTCTTATTCCAGAGATCTGTATAAACAGGTACTAAGTCTTTAAAACAAAATGGGAATTTTTTTTTTCTTTTTTCTTATAAGGAGCTTCCCATTTAATAAACCACTGACTGTTAATAAGAGATGTGCAATATTCATATAAAATTATATTTCTTTTTAATACACATTTTTACAGAAGTAAAAAATGTCAAGCCCAGTGTGGTAGTGTATGCCTATAATCCTAGCACTTTGGAAATGGGCCAGAGGATTCAGGAATTCAAGGTCATTCTCGGCATGAAGCTAGTTCAAGGCCAACGTGGACTACATGAGACTGTCCCCAAAAACAAAAGTCATCTATGGGAAAAGTGGGAAGAAACAAAGATATAAAACTACAGAGTTCAAAAACATTTAACAGTTTATTTCCAAATGAAACATTTCGCTAACCTACTTCCTTTGCCTTTGATATTGACAGCCCCATTTTCTCTTTGGGCAAAGTAAATAAACTTGGAACTGTGTTTCAGTACTCATGTTTATTTTCAGGTGTCTGCATTCGGGGCCGAGCTTTCATCTGAGGCATGCAGAGAGCTCGGCTTCTCCAGCAACTTGCTCTGCAGCTCTTGTGATCTCCTTGGACAGTTTAACCTGCTTCAGCTGGAGCCTGTTTGCAGAGGATGCTGCCAGGAAGAAGCACAATTTGAAACCAAAAAGGTACTGTTTTCAGCTGTCTCGCTTCCATGATGTGGCTTAGTTGGAATAGGTAAATTACCTGTTGCTTAAGCAATTTAGGCAAAAGAAAGCTCTGGTTTTTACAGTGTTTAGTAAAACGCAGCTGGTCTTGGCCTGGCCTACTAGATCAAAGGTGAGGTGTCTTTGCATGCCAGGATCTCACTCCAGGGTGGCCATCCAGCACGCTCCAGTCTTCCTTAGCTTCTGTGCAAATAAAGGCAAGGAACCATTCATTGTTATTGAACCATTCATTCACTTTTATTTGTACTAAGTAGCCAGTTTTATAAAGAGAGATGAAAGCAAGTCACATAATAGCTGGTGCATCTCTGGTTAACAAAGAACCACTTGTTAAATGCCTATTTCTAGTAATTCCTGACACCAATAACCTTACCTTTAGTGTTGAAATCTGAGCCAAGAATAGGTAGTTCTGTCCCGTAAAATCTACTGTTGTGAACCTACTGTTCAGACAAATAGTTGCTCAGGTTTTTTGTTTGTTTATGT